GGGGGGGGGGTTGCGGCATTAAATCTTGCCGAATAGAATAATTGATTGAAAAGAAATTAGTTGAGCACACTCACTGGTAAAAAATATGAGCTTTTATGAGTCATTGTAGGTCAAAAAAAACAATATTCAACTGAAAAATATTTTATAAATCAACCTTTTGGGTCATTGTGGATCATTGTGAGATCAGCTCACCGAGTGGGTCATCTCGTATTTTACAAATACCCCTCAAGGTTCGTGTTACAAAAAGGACAAAAAACAACCACGAGTATAAACATATAAATGTAAGAAAAGGGATAGGTATGGATTTGAGTATTCTATATTAACACTCATCCACTCCCTCAATGATCTCCTTGAAATTCAGAAAGACTTCAGTTATTGAAGAATATGTAAAAAAAATCTCTTATCAAAATCAATGACTTCATGTGTAATCAGAAAACGAAATAAAAATTTAAGATGTAAACTGGATTTTATAACGCTCATACACACGTTTAGTTTATCGTTTGTGCTGATCAATCACTTAGATAGATTAAACAGCGAAAGAAAAAGGTCGAGCAGACTGTTTCGACACAACACTTGTTGTCGTGAAATCAAGTTCACGTAACATTTGTAAATATTTTATTGATGAACAAAGTTGTTTGTGACTATCTTTCCAATGCTGAGTTTGACATAGTTCATTACAATATAATGCTATTCGACATTTCGAACACTTCTTCAATGAGAGATTCATTGGTACTGATTCTGCAGATTGATCAGAAGAAATAGAATGTTCATTTTCTTTTAAAGGTAAATTTTGAATTGAATCTGATGGTTTTGCTCCACATTGAAAGCAAGCTTGAGGAGCCGTCATAGATCCAAAAGTTTTGATGAGTGTTTGCATAGGACATTTAAAAATAACGACTAAATCTCCATCCTCTTGTCGAATACCAGTAGTCCCTTCGAGAAAATCATGTTTTTCAGGATACATTATCAAAATTGTATGACCTTTCACTGCATCATTGAATGAAAAAGTAAGCGGAGTATGACTGCCTTCGAGATAAAAATGAACTTTAACTTTCTCGTCGAATCGAGTACGTATCACTAGAACGGGACGAGTGATGCAATAAATTTCTTCAATTTCTCCCATTAAACACCAACGACGAATTTGTTTGATACTACCTTTAGTAAAGCGCCAGTAAGGTTCACATGGTCTATCCTCATGACATATAGCATGAAAAGCTGGACAGTCAACATGGTTGTCCAACTTGTTTATATTAGAACAGTAATCAAATGCAGGTTGCCGATCATCAGACTTGATGCTCAAACTTTCATCGCCAAAGCCACATGGACATGGTTTAGTTGAAACATTTCTTGTCCATCCAAGCATCTTAATTTGAGTTACAATCAATTGAAGAAGATGAATATTTATGAAGTTATTTCTACTAAAATGAATATTTATGAAGTTATTTCTAACTAAAAAACAAAGTAGTCATACATACCGTAATGGATCTATTCAAAAAACTTGAAAGAATTTTAATGAAAAAAGACTTCAAAATATCTTATTATATACATGTATGTTTGTGCTAGAGTGGGTTTTTTCCCACAACTTTTATTCGCATAAAAATTGTCATGACTGTTGTGTAAGACTTCTCGTAACAAAAAAACACCTTTCTAGGTAAAAATCTAAAATGATACACGCGTGCATGTGAGAATATCAGTATTTGTTCCCTCGACTGCGGAGAACTCGAATCCAGGATGCATTCAGTCGAAGAGGGTGGAGGGAGGTTCAGAGGAGAGTCATTCCCTTCCAGGGGTCAAAAAACCATCGAAATCTGTATTTCGCCCAAAATGCATTTCTGAGGGTTTTCGGTGTGGAGAACTCGAATCTGAGGGTGAATTCGTTCTGATAGGGTCAGGAGGAGCTAGAAAGGGGTTGATGACTTATTGTTGGTCAAGAAAACGTTGCTTGGCTATGAGTACAAAGATGTCTCGTGAGACTTGCGGACGAGGTTATCACGAAAATCGATTTATTGGAAGCTGTTTCAAGCGCATACACTATTCACGACCAACGGAACGGAGACGTAGAGCACCAATCTGACATCGCTTGAGACGGTTCCTTCGATTCCCATGTTGAATTTTACAGCACACTCGAACAGGAGCTGCTCTTTCTTGCTTATTATTTGCGAAAGACAGCATGGCTGCTTAGACAAAGATGATTGTGTCTGTTCGTTCCCTCTCTCTCGGTATTAACGACACTGGTGTTTTCTTAGAAAGATAAGGAAGCAATGAGTATGAAAGTCTTGCTGATTCACTCAAGTGGGTAAGAAGATAGACTCGCTCTTTCTGTTTCGTTTATTTAGAGAGAAACGCAGGTTTGTGTTAGCCAATATGAAAGACTTCTGTTCGCTTCCTTAGGGATTTATTTGGATCGTCCTAAGTTGTCCATGTGGTATGGATATGCGAAGAAGGCTGCATCTGGACTGCGATGCGGACGGTTGTGACGGTGAGGTCTCTCCTACCAACTGTAGTGTGTGCATTGTAGTGCTTCGGCAGAGTTTTCGATAAATTGAAAGACATCAAGGGAAAAGTAAAGGACACGTTGCTCTAATGCACAACTGTGTGATACATTCTCGAACAGTCGAAAGCGAGGAACCGAAGGAACGTAAATGAGTGAGCGAGGGATAACTCAGACAGAAATTGAACAAAACTAGTGAAGCGTCCAAAGACTGCGTATGTAATGGGAAACACGCAATTAACCTTGTAGACTGTTCTGTTTTATGAATATGCATACAGCTGATGGTCGAGTTTAGATCAGAATATACGAAAATCTTACTAGTGACATTCGAGTGTCGTCGACACATGTCTACAGGCTATTGTGACACTTGTGGCACGATTTTTAGCATGAAGAGAGATTCATTCTGTAATTTGCTCCATAAAATCAATGTTCGATCTGATAAAATACTTGATATAATATTTTGTAGGTATGGAAAAGACTTAGGGATGGCAGCGGTGAGTCGGGCGTGGCGGACCGCAGGGACGTTGACGCCCGACGAGCTGCTGTCAAGATCAGTCTGTGTTACTGATGTGCTCGGAAACGTTTTCAAAACAATTCAGTGACGAACTCTTTCGATTACCTGGCACCGTTGTCGAAGTTCAGAAACTGTCAAACTTGTTACACCACAAGTGCCCAGCCAAAACCGTCTCCATCGCTTTTGCAAAATTCTTTTCTGGATATCGTCTCATTAATCGATATGAGTGCCATCTAGCCTATTTGGAAACTCCGGATTCTCGCAGAAGATATCCTGAGCATTGAAATAGAGTGTCAGATCAACTAGGTTGTGCATGGTCTAGAAAAAGGAGTGGTGAGAAGGAAGGTGTAGTGACATCTACTACTAACTGTATTGTCTGATCAATACGGAAATCACAGAGTGTTTTCCTTGCAATTGGTATTTTTAACTATTCCGTGGGGACACTGAAAATCAGTCGAGGGTGAAGCGAGTGGGCGACGAGCGTTATTTATTTTACTACTTATCCTGACTCATTAACATTTGACATCCATATCATAGAAGAAGGATATTATAGCTCCGTTTTTTCTTCAAATCAACTTGTTTTTCAGCCTTTTCATAGTGATAAATAAATTTCATACACGGATAAAATTACAGTAGAAGTAAACAAGAAAATATTGGGTTGTCAACGACGTTCTTGCGTTTTTTTTTCAAAATTCTCTCAAACATCCGAGAAAGCTCTAGAAGTTTCCATACTGAGGGTATATAAAGAGGGTGTGAATATCTGTCTAATAATAATAAAGTCATCGATATGGATATTGATTATAGTCAGAAAATGAATCTTTCTCGTAGAGAGATTCGTGTGCTTTTACTTCATAAATTCTGCCTGGGTAACAAAGTAACGGAAGCAGCCAACAACATATGCAGCACAATGGGTGATGATGTGCTCTCCGTCCGTACGGCACAGAATTGATTCCATCGATGATTTACATCGCTCCATGACAAGTGGAACTGAATATGGAACTCTTAACACGGCTTATCGAAGAAGATCGTCGATTGACCTTACGGTGTTTAGCAGAGCAGCTAGGGTGCTCCCACACTCCGGTGGAAAAACATCTCAACGAATTAGGCAAGACATGGAAATATGAAGTTTGGATACCCCACGAATTATCACCACATCACCTTCAACACAGGATTGATACTTGTATGGATTTAATGACATCTCACCACAACTATCAATGGCTTCGCAATCTCATCGCTGGCGATGAGAAGTAGGTGCTGTGCGTTAACTACAAGCACAGACGTCAGTGGCTTAGTCATGGTCAAACAGGCGTAGCAACGCCTCAGACTGATCTGTATGTAGAGGTGTAAGCCGTGATCGGCGGCGGCGAAGTGAAATACCTGACGTTGAATTTGTTGACAACGGCGGCGGCTGAAATGAAAAGAACTCTTCGGCGGCGGCGGCTGAGATCCTGATGGTCGAGAGGACTACTGAAGAATCATATGTCATCAACTTTATTTCGATTATCCAGATCTGTACAAATGAATCAAATCCGACAACGCTCCTCGAGGAAAAAAACACATCTGAGTAGTTAAAATATAACTTCAAAGTAATAAGACATGACATTTCAATGCATCGCGCCACATGAAGCGAAATAGGGCGTAATGTAAACAAGCCTGGCAAAATTAACCTTTGAATAAATCATAATTATCATGAATCAATTGAATTTTACCAATGTTTTCAGGAGCTAGCGTTGTCCGTTTCGAATTAACAATCAAGCCGGTTGTCGAAAATACTTGCTCACTAGGTGTGCTAGTAGATGGAACAGCCAGAATGATTCGCGCTAGAGCGGAGAGATGCGAAAATCGATCAGTAGAAATTCGCCAAAAACGAAGCACATCATCGCAAACGATGTCGAGGTTTAGATAATTTTCGATTTCGGTTGTCAATGCATCAGCAGTTACTTTAGGACATACCGAGTGTTTCTCGATCAGTTCTTCTCGCATTCGCTTGATGCTTCGATCATCATTGCGAACGCTCGGTGATTCCACTGGAAAACGACGTTTCACTGATGGTGATGGGGTTGATGTGATGCTGGATGTAACCGGACATGGAGATGCGGCAGAAATGACAGCAGTATTCGGCTCAGAAGATCGCACAACAGAGTCAATCCCAAGCTTTCGGACCATATTCATCAGCAATGATTGTCTTGTTGTTCCATGTGGAGTTAAGTACCGGATGATATCGATCTTTAGCTGAGATGGATCTATCAGAAAGCCACAGATGTTCAACGGTAAAACGGGGAAGCGCTGATCCAAATGTATCGGTAGGAGATGTTTCATCTTTTGAATCACCGCTGTGTCTTGTTCATCAGCTTGAGTCATTCGATCTCCTATGTAACACAAGAGAAGAATCAATATTCAATTATTTATCAGCGGGTACAAAGATCTTCGGCCAACAACTTACTATGCGTAACAAAAGATACAAATTCATTGTAGGATTGTAGGATTTGGAAGCAGATAGTATTGTCGTGGTCGATTCAAAGACAGAAAGAAATCTGACTAACGGGTGGCCCAGGATAAACCGGACTGTTTCATTTCGCGTGTAGCTCCCTCAATTTTGGTCTGATTGGTTCAATCTTTTGTTCATTAGAACGGCCATTCAATCCTCTGCAAAACTGTGTTTCCCGTATTTCTATGTTATTTTTAAATCTCACTCAATAAAATGAAAAGTAAAGACATACAGAAACTCGTACTTTCAAAGTACCAGAATGGTGACAGTGCAACGAAGATATCTCATGATTTGAAGAGCTCACTTAGTCGCACAACGGTTTTCGAATGGTGCAGAATGATCAGGAACACCGGATCTATTCAGCTGTCGGCCCCGCCTGGTTCTCTTCGTTTGGTTCGGACAAAGGAAATGATTCAGAAGGTGAAAAGACGCTTAAACCGCAGGAAACGATTGTCAACTCGAAAACTTGCCATTGAACTTGAAGTTTCAAGAAGCAGTGTGCAGAGAATGCTTAAAGATGATCTCGGATGTCAAGCTTTCAAGAAAAGAATTGAACCTTTAATGACTGATATCCAGAAGGGTAAAAGGAAAACCTTTACCAACTGGATACGCACGAATTTCAAGAAAGAACAAACATTAAAATTCTTATTTTCGGACGAGAAAATGTTCGACTTGGATGGGATGTACAATGCTCAGAATGATCGAGTATGGGCAGTAAATCGCGCCGAAGCTGATAAGAGAGGTGGTGTGAAACAAAAACGCAAGTTTCCTCAGAAAGTGATGGTCTGGTTGGGAGCATGTTCGAAAGGCGTTACACCGTTGGTTATCTTGGATAAAGGAACCGTCAATCATCGCATACTCACGCTTTAACACAGCAATGGTGCAGAGACAAATTTCCCTCGTTTCTCGATAAAGACCACTGGCCTCCGAATAGTCCAGACTTAAACCCTTTGGACTACTCTATCTGGGATGAATTCATGCACCAGATAAACTGTAACAAAGTTAAATCCAAACAGACCTTGATTGACAAGCTCAAACGAGCGGTGAAGAAAATTAGAGCAACAGTTGTCTTTGAAAGTTGCCACAGTTGGACCAACCGCTTGTATCGCTTGTCAGAAAATGATTTCAACTATTTACATAAATAAAAGAACTAGGTTTCGTAGAGAATTGCAAGGGCTTTCTAACGAGAAAAAGATTGAACCAATCGGACGAAAATTGAGGAAGCTACATGCGAAACAAAACAGTCCGGTTTATCCTGGGCCACTCGTTAGATCAGTCATCATCTGATCTTCGACGCCGTTCAAGAGCAAATCATATTGTTTCAATCGACGAAGCAGAGTCTCGATACCATCGAGATTCGATTGGTAAGAGCGAAGCATAATTAAAACTGTGTTCCACCGGGTGAGAACACGTTTTCTCAAGGTGCAAAATTTATTCAAATTTGTCACTGCAGAAGACAAAAGGATGTCAGAGTTTCTCCGAGTCTGATCGGCCTCTTTGTCCAGATGCAAACAGGTGAATAATCTTATCTCCTGCGGCACTGAGTTATCGTCATTTTCAATGAATTCATTTGACTCGCCATCGTCAACAGAAGAAGAAGTGGCATCGGCGTCCAAAACTTCGCCGACTTGATTGATCACCTCCAGAAGACGCTCCCCCAGGCCGTCATTTGATCGGTAAAACTCGAATTCGAGGTCCTGTTGGCGAGACCGCAGTTTGTCTATGATCAGTTGAATCTTGCCGAGTAATTCCGGTACACCAGCCATTCGTGCAAGGGGGAAAAAGCGGAATGGGATGGAATGGGACGGAATGGCCCATTCCGTCCCATTCCATACCATTCCACACCATTCCATACCATTCCATACCACTCCATACCATACCATTCCATACCATTTTTTACAGTTTTTTCCATTCTCCTTTTTTAAGAGACTTATAGAATGCGCCGGAATGGGCCACATTGGCGCCGAGTGAGAACTTCTATTCCCTTGACTGTAA